ATAATAATAATAACAATAATAACAATAATAACAATAATAATAATAATAATAATAATAATAAAACAATAATAACAATAATAACAATAATAACAATAATAACAATATAATAAATAATAATTACAATTAATAATAATTACAATAATAATTACAATAATAAAAAATATTAATAATAATAATAATATAAAATATAATAATAATAATAATAATAATAATAATAATAATAATAATAATAATAATAATAATAATAATAATAATAATAATAAAATTAACAATAATAATACAAACATAAAAAGAATAATGCAAACTATAAAAATAATAACCATAATAAATAATAATAATAAAAATCATTATAATAAAAAATAGAAATAATAATGACAATGTAAATAATAACATTAACAACAATAACAATAATAATAATAACAATGCATAATGAATAGTATGTATTCCACAAAAGCAATCATAAGAACCAGAGTAACAATAAAGAAAACAATATCCCTAAAAGAACGACACTTCAAATTACAAAATGTTTTCTCCAAAAATCATACACATCCTTCATGCCCAAACTCCTTTCCGTAACTGCATAAAAATAAGAGCAACGACTATGTACACCACGCAGTTAGAGACAGACAGACAGATGTATGAATTGGCAGCAAAGAAGAAACAAAATTGGTCTTCACTCATTATCAGAAAAAAATAAAATAATCAAATATATATTAGAAAAAAGTGAATTTTATACACAAAACAAACTCTCTTCTCATCTCTCCACAAATATAAAAAAAAATGTAACTTACATTAATCATAAAAAAAAAAAAAATTAATCACTGAAATTATAACATTGTGTGTGTGTGTGTGTGTGTGTGTGTGTGTGTGTGTGTGTGTGTGTGTGTGTGTGTGTGTGTGTGTGTGTGTGTGTGTGTGTGTGTGTGTGTGTGTGTGTGTGAGTGTGTGAGTGTGTGAGTGTGTGTGAGTGTGTGAGTGTGTGAGTGTGTGAGTGTGTGTGTGAGTGTGTGAGTGTGTGAGTGTGTGAGTGAGTGAGTGAGTGTGAGTGAGTGAGTGAGTGAGTGAGTGATGAGTGAGTGAGTGAGTGAGTGAGTGAGTGAGTGAGTGAGTGAGTGAGTGAGTGAGAGTGAGAGTGGGAGAGTGAGTGAGTGAGTGAGTGAGTGGGAGAGTGGGAGAGTGGGAGAGTGGGAGAGTGAGACAGTGAGTGAGAGAGTGAGTGGAGAGTAGTGAGAGTAAGTGTGAGAGTAAGTGTGAGTGAGAGAGTGTGAGTGAGAGAGTGTGAGTGAGAGAGTGAGAGTGTGAGAGTGAGAGTGAGAGTGAGAGTGAGAGTTTGAGTGAGTTTGAATGAGTGTGTGTGTGTGTGTGTGTGTGTGTGTGTGTGTGTGTGTGTGTGTGTGTGTGTGTGTGTGTGTGTGTGTGTGTGTGTGTGTGTGTGTGTGTGTGTGTGTGTGTGTCTGTACACGTGCTATGGACATGAAACTTTATATGGAAGTGGTACCCCAAAATTTAGTCTTTACATAACTGTGCTATTCATATGCAATCTAACAACAGCTTCCAAGGTTTACTTCAAATTATAGTTCTATCAATTTCTTTTCACTGATTTCATTTTATTCAGATACTAAATAAAAAATATTGAAAAATATGTTTACATCTTGCACAAAATAAAGTGATGTGTCCTCTTTCAGAATCTTTCCTAGTGAAAAATATACTGTATTGATTGGTTGTTGTTTTTATATGATCAGAAGTATTATTATTTATTAATTTGCATTTCATTATTTCTACAGACTCCATTTTATTACGTTATTGTTTAATCTATTCTGAAAGCCTTTTTATTTTCTAGTACAGCTACAAACTACAACCTACCTTTAGTAAGAACGCAAGACAAACTTTTGCCAAAATTTGTTTTCTTCTTTTACTTTGAAAGCAAACATATACTGTACAGTTTAATACTATTTACAAAAATTAATCCATCTATCATCCAAATGACTGAATTGCTTAACATGAGGCTTAAACACAAACTTGAAGATAATGTGTGTCTTTCATAATATCACAAGGAGTTTGAAATACTCGCACTACAATTTCGGAACACATTATCCAATTCTCAGAATGAAGAGTAAATGTGATTTACACAAATACTGCTCTTAACACAGTAGCTATCAGTCATCAAGACCTTTTGTTGTTTACATTATATATGACATTTACCATTCAACTTGAAACCATCGCATTCTGTAGGCACAATTAATCAAAAAAGAATGCCAAGTGCTTCTAGTCTCCAGTGTAATGGCAGTCAAGCAGTGATTACATTCCAAGTGTGCTGAGGAATAAAACCTACATAAAATAAATGTACTTCACACAGATGATTGGCAAAAAGGTGGCATCAGATAATCCCATGATCAGTCATCACATGTGCTACACAGCTCATTCATTTTTAGTTTTTGGAAGCATTTATGCTCATATCTAATCAATAATCTTTATTGTAATATCAATTTTTCCTCCAATT